AGGGGGGAGGGGGAGGGGAGGCATCAATAGGAATTAACCCGTCAGTTCTACAAACCACGAGTCGCCCCTGAATAACACAACATAACACAACATAACACAACATAACACGACATGCACTGTTTTTATAGATCCTGTTGTGTCACAACGTGCCCATAAGAAACCGGATCTGAACCACAACAAAAGCTTAAACCCACACGGTGCTTCCCTTTTCTTTCTTATCATCTTACCGACCGATCTATCTGGGGAACAGTCGAGGCACACCAACGTTTATGTGAAATAGGTTACTTGATCTCAACGCGTTTAGTCGGTCGGTATCGATTGTTGAAGCAAGCAACGGATGGGCATTGAGCAAGTCGTCGCTAGATCAGAATTACAAAGTTGTATCTGCTCAGTTAGCCAATCTAGTTTTGAGGAATTTGACGTAAAAAAATGTTGAGTTTCACAAAATGTCAAGCTTTTTGGAATGCAATTCTTTCAATATCTTGATATTGACTCAGAATAATCTTACGCTTTGGATAGAGCAGATAGTTTATGATTTCTGACCTCATGGTCAGCAACTTAAAGAGACCAGAAGTGTCTGATAGAACTTTGCAATTCTTAGATAACGAAGTGTCTTCATGGTAGCGAATACATTACCAATACGTTAATAATCAGTCCTCAAAATGTGCAAACAGGTTCGGTTCATAACTAGTTGAATTGTTGCCCAGATTGTGTTGTTTGTGGAGAGTGGAGGGCCATCCTGGTTTGAACTTATATACGCAATTGCGTGCGTGCACTCACACATACTTACACATATACACGAGCATACACACACGCACACACGCGCATACGCATACATACACACAAACACATATATACATACACATACATACACATGCACACATACACACACATACACACACACACACACACACACACACACACACACACACACACACACACACACACACGTACCCACACCCTCACACATACACATACATGTACACACCCTCACACACACATACCCATACACACACGCACGCATACACGCACACATGCAAACATACACACGGGCGCACACACATACACATATACACATACATACACACATAAACACACATATACACGAACACACACATACACATACATACACACAAACACACATATTACACACAAATAAACACAAACCCACAAACACACACACACACACACTCACACACACACACACACACCTACTCGCACATACAAATACAAACACACACATACACAAACACACACATACACACACACACACACGTACACACACTCACAAACACACACACACACACACACACACACACACACACACACACATTATGACGGGATCCCACCGAAGTGAACAAAGCGCTATTGTAAAGAGAAAGTATGCAAAAATAAATACAGGTCTATCATACATGGTACACTATTATAAACCAATAACTCAGAAGGTAAATGTTAATGGTGAAAGTATAACGTGAAGAAGTTAGGTGAAATCGCTTTGAGATCGAGTGCAGTTGTGTCGATCTAAACGGACCCAAAGCCTGCAGGAATGGGCCTTGAAAAAGTAAGAATTGTTATTAGTTCCGCAACGTGGTTCGCTTTTCATACCCCCTCGGCCCACAATGAACTATTCGACATGACCACCGCGAATACAGTTGGAGATTATTGGAGATTATTCGATACTGGCAACAACTGATTTCACAATCAGAGTGCTTATTGGCCCACAGGGGCATATAAAATTTCCCCTAGAACATTTATTATTTGCCCACAAAATTGCGAGTTATCTCCCCTGAGTTTGCGCCGCCGCC